CAAACGATTTCAAAGTTAGATATCGAAACCACATAAAATCGTTCAAGCACAAAAGATACGAATTTGACACAGAACTTTCCAAGTACGTATGGAAATTAAAGAACGCTGGGAAAGATTACGGAATCAAGTGGTCAATCTTGAAACGAGCTCCGTCGTATTCGGCAGGTGGAAAGCACTGCAGTTTGTGCACTGAAGAAAAACTGTGCCTTTTAAAGGCAAATAAAGCTATTAATCGAATGAGCAGATCTTCTTGATGCGTAGACCCTGACTATATACTATAGACCTTTTAACATGTGCAGGGTGTGATGAATCATAATGAAGATACTGCTGGCAATCAGTAGGTTTACAAAACAAACTTGTAATGAAATTACCACCAGCATTTTCAACTACGACATCGAGAAAATTTACTCTATTATGCGAATACTCGTATAAATTTGAGATTAGGATGAAATTCATCGAGTCTCGACATAAATTGCAGGAGTTTGTCCTCTCCTTCTAACCAGACAAAAAATACATCATCTATGTAGCGTAACCAAATCCAAGGCTTCACACTCTGTTGCTTTAAAAATTCAGTCTCAACCATACAGTCCATGAAAATACATGCATATGGTGGAGCGAATTTAGTTCCCATAGCCGTATACCGGAATTTTGACAATAAATATCACCGTCAAACTCGAAATAGTTGTTTTTTAAAACAAACTCCGCCATTTTAGTCAGATTTTCTGACGGCACTTTCTTATCCTTACGTTCCTCTAAATTGGCATATAGGGCGCGTAGACCATCATCGTGTGGGATGCTGGGGTAAAGACTCGTAACATCAGCGGTAACTAATAAAGCATTTTCGGGTATCTTTGCAATTTCTTTAAGTTTCTCCAGGAAATGTCCTGTATCTCTAATGGCCCATGTATATAGGACTTACCAGCTTTCATATATATATATATATATATATATATATATATATATATATATATATATATATATATATATATATATATATATATATATATATATATATATATATATATATATATATATATATATATATATATATATATATATATATATATATATGTATATATATATATATATATATATATATATATATATATGCGAATAACATCATAACTTAACACGTCGTTCTCAGCTTGACCTTGTAGCTCAGAAGGTAGAGCATCGTTCTAAAAATGCGAAGGTCGCGGGTTCGAATCCCAGCCGCGGTCAAGTAGAATTTTCTGCTTGCCCGGTTTGGTATACACTCGTCTGAAAACAACTCAAAAAACCGCTATATATATATATATATATATATATATATATATATATATATATATATATATATATATATATATATATATATTGACAACAAATCAACAAAACTGAGCTAGGCATCTTTATTACTAAATAGTTTCGTACCACGCACAAGATGTGGCACTCTTCAGATAAATTGACCTGATGACTAGAGACTAAAACTTATAAGGTTTACGATTTCACTCTTGTAACGTTATGTAGTGGGTTTTTTTTAGTTGTTTTCATACGAGTGTATATACAAGGTCACCTTGTAGCTCAGACGGTAGAGCATCGTTCTAGAAGTACGAAGGTCGCGGGTTCGAATCCCAGCCGCGGTCAAGTAGAATTTTCTGCTTGCCCGGTTTGGTATACACTCGTATGAAAACAACTAAAAAAAACACTACATATATATATATATATATATATATATATATATATATATATATATATATATATATATATATATATATATATATATATATATATATATATATTGACAACAAATCAACAAAACTGAGCTAGGCATCTTTATTACTAAATAGTTTCGTACCACGCACAAGATGTGGCACTCTTCAGATAAATTGACCTGATGACTAGAGACTAAAACTTATAAGGTATAATATATATATATATATATATATATATATATATATATATATATATATATATATATATATATATATATATATATATATATATATATATATAT